GGCGCGGCGGGCGGCTGTCCGGGCGGCGCGGGCCTTGGCACGGGGGAGTTAACACTTCATGCTTCTCGCCTCCTCTTCTGCCTGTCTCTTTTTTATTATTATTTTTTTTCTTTCCTCCCTCACTCTCTCGCGCTCTCTCGCTCTCTCTCTTCCTCCGTGCAAAGTGCAAGACAGAGGTGCAGCCCGGCTGGAGGAAAGGGAGGGGGAGTTTAGTTCTTTCTTGCCTGTTTTTTTTTTTTTTTTAAAAGCAAAATAGCGAAGTCCTGGTGAAAGGCGAGGCAGAGAGCAAAGGGGGGGGGGGCGAGGCCGAGCCGACGAGCAGCCCGAGCTACAGCTCGAAGATGAAAAAAGATTTTAAAGCCTCTGATCCAACAAGAAGAGTTTAAGGCAATTGCTGAGTTTTATAGCACTCGTGACGTCAGGCCCAAATGGGAAATTGACTGGCACTCCGAGCCAATGGGAGGCGGCGAGAGCGGCCGCGATTAGCATAATAGTATAGAAACAAGGAAACTTTTCGGAGCTGTCAATCAGGGCCCAATCAGCTGACTGTCAGCTGGGACTGGCCGGCTTAACCCTTCCCGCCCCGCAGTCTGCCCGGGAGGAGGGAGCGAGGCCCGGCGCAAAGTTTGGTTCAAGAGGGAAAGGAGTTTTCCAGAGGGGCTTCGGGGACCCGGGCGGACCCGGGAGGATGGTTTGCTTTTCTTCGGAGCGCGAGAGAGGCCTGTCTTGAGGAGCCCCAGCTCGCCCGCCACTCAGTCTGCGGGAATTGGCTGGACTCCCCCCATCAGCCTGCCCCCCGCCCCCAGGATGGTGGATTCGCCCTGCAGCTTTTCCTCTCCGCTCCTTCTTTGGCACCCAGGTGTCTCTGCCCAGGGACCTTACTTCCCCTAACTTGGCTGTGCCGGGAGCTCAAACTTGGCCCAAACTCTTTGTTCCTCTCCCGGGTGCCCTTGCACAGGGGGGGATGCGCTGGTGTGCGGGGGTCGGGACTGCAGCGGAGGAAGCTCGTTTTGTCACCCTTTTTTAAAGGAGGTGAAATAAGTTGTTTGGGGCCATTCCGCGCGGGGACTGGCTGCCCGTTGGTGTCGCGTGCCCTCGGGGACAGTGAGCGCCTACGCGAGGTAACTACGGGAAATCTCAAAGTCAGGTCAGCCAGGTTCAGCCCTCCCGCTCCCGACTCTGGCCGGAGTTTGGCCTTTGAGATTCATATTCCTCTGTGTGTGTGTGTGTGTGTGTGTGTGTGTCTCACACACAAACCCTCGCTCACCCATTCCCTTATGAAATCTGACCCCTGTTTATCAGGGTCCAGCGCGCCCTTTGCACTTCTACGTTTCACTTAATTATTTCGGACTTGATCGTCGCAGGGGACAAGGAGGAAAAACAATACCCCAGCCCTCACCAGCTCCCTTCGAAGGGTTAAATTTTAAACCGCGGTTTCTCGGACAAGCCCGGAAACTCAGAGTGGGGGTAGGGGGGTAGGGACCGCTCCCCCCCACCCTTTACAAATGCTAATAACTAGTTCAGTTTTCTAGATCGACTCTTGTAAAGCTTATGCAAAAAAGAAAAAAAGATTGAAAGAAAAAGAAAGGAACAAACAACTCTGTTTCTAAGATTTTAAAGCGATAGGCAAGTCGGAGAAGCCGAGATTTATTTGGGGGAAAGCAATCGTGCGTGAAGCCGACCCAGCATTTGGAAGACCAGTCCGCCTGCCTGGAAGTTGGGACTGTTGATTCCTTCAATTAATGAAATGCATTTGGTGTTAATCGTATTTATTCTACTTTATGGGAGGGGGAGACTTTAGGAGGGTGCATAAAAAAAAAAAAAAAAATCTGAAAAGCCTGCAAAAGGATCGAAGAGTGAAAACTATTGTTGGACAGAGTTGGTTTTTACCTCAACAGCGCCACCTTTCGTCAAAGGTCAGTTGAAATTGATCCGTGTCCAGTTGTGTTGATGAAGTGAAAAGCTGGTTTCACAGGGTGGGAGGTGGAAAGAGGCATAGAAAGTGAGTTTGACTGCAGGGGGAGAGCCTGACCTTGTAGGAAAGGGGCCGAAGAAGAAATGCTAGCAGATGAGGGAACCATGTTTTCCCTACTGTCCCCCTTGATTGTTGACAAAGAGGCCAAGGGACAGAGACGCCCTCGAGATAGGATTCCAGCTGAGAGACCTTTGCAAGTGGATCCCATGTAACAGGGCCCCAAACCTTTTTAAAGTGCCAGGATGGATCTTCCACGGGCTTTATGGCAATATCAATAGAATTAAAGTTACTTGTAATTCAGTGATAAATGAGATGTCTCTAGTAAGTAAGATTAAGTGCAGTGCTATAAAGTTGTTTATCTGAAAAGTAATTCTCAGAAAACCTGACTTCTGACACTTAGTCATATATTAAGCCAGCTTCTTGAACATTGCACTTCAGAACGGTCTTACCCACCCGGCAGCATACTTTACTATTTATAACGAGACCTTAGGTGTCAGTCACTCGCTTCATACACAGGATTAGATCTGTGTAAATTTCTCTGATCCTGGCAGCATTCAGTTTCAGCGAACCCAGGAATCCTAATGGGAGACTCCTCAAAAGATTTGTAGGCACATCCTAATCCTAAAAGGCTAGCACTGTTGGTATTTTCCAGAAAGGAACTTTTTCTTTTCATCATTACTGCAGAGAAATTGTTTGTAAGGGTAATTTGGGTTTTGTAGGAATACTTTGTTGGAGTGGAATGAACTATGTCTATTACCAGTTTGGGAAAAAAACAAGTGAAGATTATGTCAATATTTATGCAACCTAACAGAATTGCCTTGCTTTTCTCCTTTTTAACAATATTTTACCTAGTAATGAAGTTAAGGGATTATAGTTCATGTATTCAGAGGAAAATCCACTGCTTAAGTTACATAAACATTGTGTCATTTAGCATTGTCCACAGCAATAGTTTTCTAGGTCTTTTTTTTTTTTTAAGTCACAAACGTCTGAAGTTTATATTTTGTATGTAAAATATAGATTTAACTATTTTTAAGAGTAATTAATTTTTTTGTTTATGATAATTTTTTAAATCCTTTTGCCTCACGTTTTTGTTAAAAGCTGTGAGGTATGATCCCTGACTCTCAAAAATGTATTTTTGGCCAGGAACATTGGCACTGCTACATTTATAAATAAACAACATTTTATAAACAAAGTTTGCTAATGACAAAGACCATGCCTTATAGATTCATGGCCGTGTACCTAATTGTTGCAATTACATATTATTTCTAGAAATTAAATGCCCATGTTTGGGCAGCTAAATGCATTATTATCTGCTCATCTTTTATGGTTTATTTTTGTACACTGCTGTCAAGCCATGGTATTTTTCTTTCTCTTTTTGCAAAATCTTTTATACTCCCCCATTTTCTCTTGCAAAAAAAGAGATCAGAATTATTTTTCAGATGTGTAGCAATAGTGCTCTCAGGCTTATAACTTAATTCTCACTTTTGTCCTTTTTATTTTATTATTTAGTGATTCACAGGGGTGTCTAAACATTTACAGTTCTCTGTTAGCAACATTTCTTTTATAACAATTGAGCTCTCTCAGTTTAATTAGTACTATTCAGGTTACTGATTCTGTACAATTACAGCAGGCCTCATTTCTTTATACTTCTTTGCTAACATTGTTTGTTTCACTTCTATCCAAGCCAATCTAATCCAAATACAATACGAACTGTGTTTTCTTACTGCTTAATATCCCCTTGCTATATATACTCCAGTAATCTCTGTAGAACAATACACAGTAATTTAGAAACACTGCGTTTGCCATTATTGACCAATTCAAATCAGTAGCATTAAAGTTTCTAAAAGTGATGAATATTTATAGAAGATTTTTTCAGGGGGAGGAGGACATGGGTCAAATCATATAGAAAGTTGCGAAACAGTAACATCAAAAACACAATTATAATTTCATGTCAGTACATATGTAACAACTTCATGCAAAAAGAAAAAAAAATAAAGCAGTTCATGTCCAAATTACAAAGATTAAATGCTAAAAGGAGTATATTTTTCCTGATTGTGAGTTATAGCAACTCAAGTATATCATGTAGGAATCAGACATATATAATATTAATAGAACGGGATGCCTCAAACACAGTGTCTTTGTTTATCTAGGAGCTGATTTTATGGTGCAGAACTAACCAGTGTCCACTAAATTTCACTATGAAACCAACTAAATTGATTTGAGAAAGAGTTTTTTGGAGTAACTGAATGATAAGGCATACACTGTTCTTAGGTCTAGTGTTAGATAAATCCTTTTAACAGTCTTCAGTTAGCAGGGTAAGTAAATCACAAATCACTGTTAGCAGATTCATGGAAGAAAATTAATAGAATCAGACGAGATAATCTGATAAGGGTAAAATTGCTGAGAAAACAGTCTTGCCTCATATTGGAGGATGTGAAACAACAGTCTGATTACTAGGAGTCGTTATGAATAGAAGAATTATATGTGCCAAATAATCATCAGAGTAATTCAGCATTTATTAATTCTTTTCTCTTTAAGCAATTCACAGTTGTAAGTTAAAGCCGCTCTCTCTTTGAAGACGCATCTTTTATAATTTTTATTAGAGGTAATTTATTATTTGCATTACCTGTATTTACTTCATAATTGAACATTTTGCATTCAAATTTATGTAACACATTATGCTTGAGAATATATTTCTGCCTGATTAGCATAAATAGTCACTTACCTCATGAATTACTAACAAAGTTTATCTTAAAATATAGGTTTTTTTATTAAGTGGAACACAAACATATGTACAATAAATTCTGATTTTCCGGAGCAGTTAGAAAACAATTCACATTTGGTTATGGGGAAGCAAGGGGAGGAATCACGGGGAGAAAGCAAAATATAGACAAATGCAAGCTGTAGGTTTCTTTCCAAGGGCATCCTTTAGATGGGGTGTCTGTGTGGAGTGGGGTGGGGGGGGTGCTGAACAAGGCACTGGGCTCTTCCTAAGCTGTTTCCCTGATTTACCGGGTGCCCTCTGCATGAAATGGGAATTCTGGAAACACCTATACTTGGTGATCGCTACCTTCGTGGGGACTGTGGTAGTGAGCAGAGAGCATTGACAGAATTTGGGGGTTTTATTAATTTTATTTTTATTTTGTTTGTTTATTTGTTTTTCATCTCTGCAGGATTCTTCCTTAGATCATAACACACATCATTTAATGCAGTATTTGTTTTGCACAAGAGATGTGAAAGACCCAAATGTTTTCTTGAATGAGGATGCACGGGAAGGTGTGTCAGCGTTTCCTCCAGCTCTTCTCTCTTTCTTCATCTGACAATGACACCCAGCATGGCCTGGTGAACAGGAGGTGTTTAATAAATAGTTTTGTGTACACATGAATGTTGGAGCAAAAGGACTTTTGGTTTTAGGTAATAGACACAGGTATTAAATGATGGAAATGATGGGGCCTATTTCTCTACTCTTGCCATTCCATATCCGCAGATTTCTGTGGTTTTCTTTTTTTCCTCTTTCCTTTTTCAGGGCATAGCTGTCTCCTTAGATTTTTCTTTTCCTTCAATTAGGGACTGCTTATGATTTGCTCTTCCATTGTCGTCCCTTTTGATCCTATTCACAGCTTTTACCGATAAGGGAATTTGTCTCGAAAGCATTCAACCCTTCAAAGAATTTTATTGTGGCAAACTCAGAAACGATTAAAAAAAAAAACAAAAAAACCACGAATAAAAATAGGAAGCTGATATCAGAGCAATCTTTATGCAGGTTGTATCTTTAATGCATGAAAACTCAGAGGACAAGCTCATCAGTGGTGCTACTGTGAAGTTCTGTTCACCCTTTTTTCTGTCCCAGGTAATGGCGTGGGTGGGGGCCAGATTCCTACCTCCTACCTCCTATTCAGAGGCACTAGCAGCCATTCGATCTGGGAAAGAGATGGAGTTTTAGAAAATACAGACCAAACTTAACTATTCTTGTGATTACCAGGATGAGTGTTTCAACGCCGGTGGTTTCTGAATTTGTGTGTTTCAAATTTGTTTGGCTAGGGCAAGAGGAAAGGGGTCCCTTACAGTGTATTTTATATCCTAGTTCTTGGTTGCATCATGGGTGTTGCGGAGCTTTCTCAAGTCTTCTTCTGTTCATTGAAAACACAAAACATACCCAGTGACACGCTCACAGCATGATCCATTGTGGCAGAGTGTTCCCGATCCTATGAATAATGGAAAATTGGGCTAACACCCACCCCCCAAAAATGAAAATTAAAGTCAAATTTATAAACCTCCTGCTAGTATTTTTTATTTAGTAGTTTTATAAGAGTGATACATGTTCTTTGTTACATATAAACATTTGAACAAGACAGAAATAGGAGGATATCAAACAAATGAACTGCTACTCCTTACCTCCACCCCAGTCCCTCAGTCTTGCTACGATCTGCAACAATTGGGGTGCGCGTGTGCACTTTGTGTGTGCTTTTTCCAGAATGGAGATTCTTTAACTTGAGCTCCCTTTGAAACACATCCACCTTAACAATCTCAAAAAGAGGTTTGAAGCACCTCTTTATTCTTCGTCAGAATTCACTTAATGGAATGTCAGATTGGGGGGTGTTTAGAGATATGATCTTAACACCCTCTTTACAACCAATGCATGGATCCGAGTCAGCTTTATAGCACCCTGACTGGTGAGTTGGCAGCACTCAGTGTCAACTTCACTAGGTACAGCAGACACAGTGTCTGGGCTCACGACTATTGGGGGCCCACAAAGACGTTTTAATTTCTCTTAAAATCAGGAGAAAAGAAAGGAATATAATCTAGTATGGATTATATCTGTTATCATACCAGTGATATTAAAGTAGTATTTTATTTTATGGAAGAAGGGGGTCCATGGAAGCCAAAGTGCCTAGGGCTTACAAAAGTCCCAGTGTGATTTCAACAGCATGTACTTGATCACATCCAGTGACAGGGGGTTCACTACCTATCAATTTTACCTTCCATTCTGTCCATCTATCTTCCCACAGTTCTTGAGGTTGTCAAGAAAGCTTTTAGTTTGTTCGTTTAAGCATGAAGTCATACCCTCTTCTTCCATACGTTAGTCCTGATTTTATATATTCATGAGGCCATGTGTAATAAGTCCTCATGTGCCACAGAGTCTTTGGGAAGTTGGAGACAGCCAATATTACACTCTTTCCCTGCCTTCTGTTTTTCATTCTAAACATAGTCAGTGCCTTGAACATTTCCACCTATGTCTTGGTTTCAAGTGCCCCTGCCTCCTGGTTGCTAACTCCCAGGTGGGCCCACATGGTTAACTGCAGCTCTCTGAGGGTTCAAGTCCCAGACTGAACCCAGATGCCCAGGTGTGAGCCTCTTATCACAGAGCAAGCACCACATGCTGCCTCCCTGAGCTGCAATCCTTCTGCTCCTAATGCAGACCATAATCTCACGAGCCTCTCGGGCAGGCACATTCTAAACATAGTCAGTGCCTTGAACATTTCCACCTATGTCTTGGTTTCAAGTGCCCCTGCCGCCTGGTTGCTAACTCCCAGGTGGGCCCACATGGTTAACTGCAGCTCTCTGAGGGTTCAAGTCCCAGACTGAACTCAGATGCCCAGGTGTGAGCCTCTTATCACAGAGCAAGCACCACATGCTGCCTCCCTGAGCTGCAATCCTTCTGCTCCTACTGCAGACCATAATCTCACGAGCCTCTCGGGCAGGCACCTAACAGCAGTGACTCGTTGAGCATGGACAGTGGATTCAAGCCCTGGGGCCTTTTCTTCTCACATTTCCGCCATCCTATATTGTGTGTTTGCGTTTTTGAACCCAAACACAGAAACACAGGCTCCATCTCATTAGATGCATCCTGTTCCCTGCTTGTCTAAATCTCTTTGGATCTAAAGTGTGCCATTGACTGTTTTAATTTGCTTCCCAGCTATGTACCAGCTGCAGATGAAATTGATGTGATTGTTATATGACTTAACCTCTCTGAACCCAGTTCCTCATCTGTGAATTGGGATATCGTCAGGATGAGAGATTGTGACTGTGAGTGTCTTATAGGGTACAGGGCCACGGAGGAGCGTCATAAATGGTTGGTGCTCTCCTGTACTCCCTCCTATCCCCTGGAACTGTTGATAACAACATTGGAAGGGACAGAGCCCTGTGGCATCCCAGCAGAGACTGTCCCTCCCAAACCCCAATGATTACACTAAGTGACCCAGTGGATCATTCAAGTCCCCTAATGGACATTTTAAACTGTCTGGGCCCATTTGGTAATTGGGGTAATTTTAAACTAAATTACCCCATCTGGACATCCTACGTATATTCTTCTAGTCAATTCTAAAATAACTTCACTTTTTTATGGTGTAGGCGAAGCTCTCTTTTGTCAAAGAAAATAGATCACTAGATACTTTTCTCATGGTTCACACCTGCCTTTGTCTTTGCAAACCTTTGCCCTGTCAAAATATGGAGTAGTTGTCCAAAGTTGGGACGTTAGAGACTAATACAAAATAGATGTAACCCAGAAAAACCAGGTGAAAGAGCTCTGTGTGTGTATAAAAGCATATTTGAGATCAGTTCTTTCCTTCCTGTTTTTTTCTCTAGTTTAGATCATCAACTTTCCTGCTGTTTCCTGATGCCAATTTTGAAGCCAGGAGGCTCAGAGGTATTTACTTGAACAGAAGAGTTGAGAGCTTTCGGTGTCCACCTTTGAGATGCAACTAGCAGCCCCTACCCCAGCTCCCGGTCTCTCTCGAAGGGACCTAAATGTGCCAGCTTCTGCAGAATCTCCTGTTTGAGGATCCCTCCTCTCCCCCTTTCTGAGAAACCTGGGAATGAGAGCAGTTGCCAGCCCATGAGTTATTTATGACCTGCCCAAGAGAGCTTGGCTCTGGCTGTTTCAGCAGACCCAGCCCCTGGATCACCAAGGCTCAAGGAGGAATGACAGGGACCCTTTCAGGAGGCATCACTGACTGTTGACTCTGGGCTCAGAGAAAAGCTGCTGATCAAGGACAAGGCTCAAGTGCTGTCGTAGTAATGTGGGTTCTGGCAGATTGGGATGGGGGCACAGTGCCTGAGGTCAGCACCCAGGTCTCCTGCTAATCCACTCTGTGACCTCAGCAGAGCTCTTCACCGATTCCCTCCAACTCATTTTTCAGGCTGCAAACGGACTGAATATAGGGGAGGTAAACAGGACCAGCCACCTATAGACACAGATGAAAGTTAATTTGCTGGGTTGTTGTGGAGCATTGATGGGTCATAATGACAAAATCGAAATAACTTTCTAAAATGAATTTATTTTTTAATTGATACATAATAATTGTACATGTGATATTTCGATACATGTACAAAATATGTAATGATCAAATCAGAGTGATTGGGATATTGATCACCTCAAACAATGATCATTTCTTTGTGTTGGGAATATTCCAGATCTTCTATTCTAGCTATTTTGGAATATAAAATAAATTACTGTAACTGTAGATACCCTACGCTGCTATTGAACACTGGGACTTAATCCTTCTATCTAAAGTCAAGATATCTTTGAGGTCAAATGACAGAGCCCACAAAGCAGGGTCAGGATGGTGGGGCCAAACCCTCCTGCATCTCCAGTCTAGCAGCTGCTGCTGTTTTAGATGGGTATTGTTTAGAGCCTTTAGCTGCAGCACAGTAAGGAGTAAAGCAGGGATTTCTGAGCATCACCCAGCGGAGAGACAGACCCCCAAGGTGCTTTGCTTTGGCACCAGGCCAACAAGGCACAAATCCTGCTCCATCCCAGGTGTGAGACCTGGGGCAAGTCAGCTGACCTCTCTGGGCCTTAGTCTTTCCCTCGTCCAAAGGTGGAGAGTGTTCTTGTGCTCATGTGAGCTGTACACCGCGTGCTGGGTACAGGGCCTGCTCTGTGGCATGTGATCAAAAGGGCATGGTCTGTTAGCATGTGCCAGGGGACTGTGCTGACATTCTGTTCACAATATGGGGCCTAGAGCATGCTAAGAACTCAGGAAATATTCTCCTCTCTTCTGTCTTTTTTGCTCCTGCTTTAAAGGTCCACTTACCCCTGAACCTGGCCTCTTTCTTTTCCTCTCTCCTGAGGCTTTTCACAATTTTGCTCACCTGGAATGTTACCCTTGCCCCACCTGCCCTGCGCTCTGTCCTATTTCCTGGATAATTTAGGCTTGTCTTCATGTATTAGGTTTCCTCTTAAAAGCCTTCCCTGTGTCTTCTTGCATACTGGCCCCCCAGCCACCCAACTGTGAGCCTCTTGAAGCCAGGGATGACACCTCTCATCTCTCCACCTTTTTTGCGTACTACAGTGCCTGGCACACAGCAGGTGCTCAATAAATGTGTATTCAATAAAATGACTAAACAAACACTTGTATTCCTCACCTCTTTTTTTTTTTTAAG